TGTTGAGTGGTTATTACAACAAAGTTATTTCTGGCCGAATCGTCCACTGCTGAGATCTATTACGTCAGGCAGTTTGGTCCCTTCAGATAGAAGCTGATCACATGCCTCACAATCATTCGCCGCCCTTTCCTATCTTAAAAAACACGCTTTCTGCCTCTTTCCTGGATTTTCTGTCCTGCTTCCCCTATGAGTGCTGTCTATTCCTAAGTGTCTGCTCCCGCTTGCCCCCAGTTACCATTACTTTCTTCTACATTCCATAATCCTTACTGTGACGTGGCATCTTACTGCCGATCATCCTGACATGTCCTTTACCTATTTCCTTCACCACTTCTGTCCACTTCCTCTCTAACTCCCTTACCATAAATGAGACAACTCAGACCTTGCGTACAAATCCTCTATCATCCTAGCTTCCACTGGACAATATCTTCTAACTTTCCATTCCTCGCTGCTTTCTGTTCTGCCCTAACGTCTATCATACCTGGAGCTTTTCCTTTCATATGCTTCTTCAACTGAGCTACCCACGGATACGTCAGCTCTATGAAATATACTTTCATTCTATCTCTAGACCACAGACTTAGTGCCACGGCCTTAGCTTTGTACTGGCTATTTCCTGGGGAACAACAAGTCTTTCCTTACCTAAGTCTACCTGCATTTCCAGTCACCAAGCATCCTCTAAGCTGCCTTGCCTTCCTTGCTGTCTTACCAACTTTCTCTCCCTCTTGAACAAACTTTGGATTGCAACTCTCTTTATTTTAGACCTCCTAAATTTTCCTGCCCTCGTAAGAAATCTTCAATTCCTTGCAGCTAAGCTTTTTAAAACCTGGTTATGTCGCCACGTTATACCGGCCTTAGCGACAGACTAACCTTACAGCCTTACAAAATGTGCTTTAAAGTTGGCAGTACTTGAACACAGATGACATGGCGGGTCTCCACTTTACCCAGAGTTTTAGGTTCTGGGGAGTTGGCAATACATCATATGTTGCCTCTATCAAAAATCTAATGCTCTTTCCTCCATACATCCACAGCTCTTTCCGCTAAGCTTTTTCTTATCTACACCTTCCCAATTCAACCACTGTCCCTGCTTAGCCTGAGCCACTGCCTTGCACCCCTTAATATTTCCTCCTGTCTACGAACCTGTTTCCACAACTAGCTTTCCTCTTTTCCTTGGGACCATGTCTCTACTCCACACGGTTTTGCCTTGGGCCAAGCCCAAGCCTCCCCGCCCTATTTGACATTACCGCACAATCTCTGTATGCCTGGGCGTTTGCTTCTGCCTTCCTGCAGCTGCACTTCCTTGGATTTCCACTTTCTCCCTTCGATTGGGTTTGGAACCCACCTTCCTGACTACCACAGTCTTTAACTCCCGAGTAACAGGAGCTCTGTCCTAACCTTAGTACATTTAAACTCCTCCACTAGACTAGTCTGTACTGGGAGCTGAAGTATGTCCTTTCCCATTACAGTGCCCAGGTACTTAAACATCTAAGGAACAACCTAGCCACTTCTAATGTAAAAGCTAACTAATCTTTCCATTTTTTCTGCAGCAGATAATGGAATCTCATATACGGACAAGTGGCCACATTCAGTCTGGGAAATAACCGAAACTGTGACTGAGACACCACAACTTCAACTTTTTCTGGAAGCCCTGATTTATCTATTCTTATCCAGTCCTCAGCAACATCTTTCCGAGAAACTGCACTAGCTTCTCCGTCATTCAATTCAAGTCTGCCTTGTACCACCATATCTAGACTCTTTACTCTGATTATTTTCCCTAATTATTGGGAATTTCCTCTTCGTCTATTACAAAACGTCCTATCACTTAGCTTCCGCTCTACTTATTGAGATACTTCTAGACTTAACTAGGCTTAATTTTCAATACTAGCCCACTTTTAAGTTTTTATTAAGTCTCTCTCAAGTACTGCTTTCTTACATACATGGCACCGTTTGTACGTTATCAAACGGTCATGTTCATAACCATCGTAGACGCCTAATTGGTGTAGGCGTCAGTCCACATCCTGAGCTCAGCATACTCTCTCCACCTACGACAACCCACATTAGAAGACATCTAATGGATTACCTCCATCGCCAATTTGTGAATGCACACATGGAGAATCGTAGCACAGCCTGACCTAATGCCTAATTTCTAGGCCTCTGCCACCCCAAATTTGTAAAAAGTCCTGCTGTACTTAAGCATAGTCTAATGTCTTGGAAATACGACCTTACTAACTTAACCACTATTTCAGGCACTCTAAAATAATCAAATGCCTCCCAAATAAGGCTATGTGGTACTGAACCAAACGCATTTACTAAATCCAAAAATATGACATGCAAGTCTCTTTTCTCTGTCTTGGCTGCCTGAATCTGATGCCAAATCATGCTAGTGTGCTCTAAACACCCTGCGAAACCTGGTATTCCTGCCTTCTGTACTGCAGTATCTATTAAGCTATTCCTTTCTAAATAACTAGCTAATCTCCGTGCGACTATGCTAAAGAAGATCTTCCCCTCCACATTTAGGAGAGAGATCATTCGAAACTGACTCAGGTCTGAGGATTCCTTCTCCTTTGGAATAAAAACACCTCCTGCCCTACGCCATGCTCTGGGAATAACCTGTTTCTCCCAAACTATTCTTAATTGCCTCCACAAAAACTTTAGGATATCAGGTGCGCTTTTATAAACCCGGTAGGAGACTCCGTTGGCCCTGGGCCGAAGAAGCCTTTGCACGCCTGACTACCTCCTCAACCTCCTTCCACCTGGGTGGTCTAACATCCATCTCATGATCTATCTTTCCTAATGGTGGCATGTTGGGTGGAAGGCCTACTACTCTATTCTGCTCCAAATCTGAATACGTGTTTCTTAAATACTTTTCCACGTCTAACTTCGTTGCCTTAAGCTGCCCTCCCTTTTCCTGGTTAAACAATCCTTTAACAAACTTGAAAGGGTCCCTGTAAAACGCTGTCCTTACATATTCTTTCTTCTTTCTCTTTTTCCTAAGATATTCAGCCCTTCTAAATACTGCTAGCCTGCCTCTCAAATCTTCTTGCAACACATCAATTCCCCCCCTCTCTTACTCTGTTGCCCTTTTCCACCGCTTTCTTAATTGTCTTCTTTCCTTAACTAATTTCTCCATTTCCCTTTGCCGTCTAGACTTAACTAACTGTGCTCTTTCAACTCTCTTTCTGTCTTGCGCCCCAAATCTTTCTGCACCATAGGAGTAAATTATATTTCCCATCTTCTCTAGTCTATCGCTTGCATTTCCTCCTAGTCTGCTTAAAATGACTGACAAATCTCTATTGACTGACGCCCATTATTTCTTGCTATTTGCCCTCGGCCATTTAACTCTAGTTTTCTGCTCCATATTTCACTCTCTGACTGGCCTGTTCACCTCAGTCTCAGCTGCATCCCCTCTTGTAGTCTCCTCTTCCCCCTCTGTAGCTGTGTTGTTGATATCCTTCGAACTGTGGTTTTCTACCTGTCGCTGGACTTCATCCGACTTATTCGATTGACTTCTTAAAAAGTATCGATCGATGCGGCCACACTGCCTTTCCTTTGCAACACATCTCTTTCTTCCCTGATGCATTCTAAGGCCTCTAACTGACGTTACTTTCTGCCAGCCACAAGGACAAATCTGGAGCTTATTTCCCTCTAGTCTAACATTTTTATTCTCTCCAGCTACACTCACGTCACCCTGAGAACTATTCTGCCCAGTTCTAGTCCTAGAGAATAGGTCCGTGCCCCTATCCTTCACTGAGTCGCATATCCAAGTCATAGTCCTGTCCATTCCAGTGTCTGTTGCCATGTAGTCTGCCTGTGGGACAGAGAAATAATTTGTTCAAAAATCTGTCCTAAATTTAGCATAACCATTTGCCTTAAGCATCAAATGTGATTCTTGTAGCCCCCCTGCAAATTCAAGAACCCACCTCCAAAGAGAAGAGCCAGATCACCTTCTCGTAGAGGCCTGTCTCGCCAAACAGAACAAAGTAGAGGATCAAGATCACCTGTTGATCTGCAACCTATGCAAAGGACCAGCTCCACACAACAAACTCCATCAACCCAGACAAAACACAACCCGTACCAAATGCCTGAAGCAAGTAAGCATACACTACTATTTCTGCTTACATGTGCTTTATTGATGTTTTTCCTGCTCTTGTAATTTCTGACTAAAACCTGATGTCCTATTCCTGCTCATTCTAGCATTTTCAGTATTGAATAAGTGTTTCTAGTTAAAATTTGGTGACTATTTGTTTATCGACTCAAGGAGCTTTTGTCTCAAGCTATACAATCGTCAGCGCCTTACTGGAACTCCACTGATTTTTTAACACATTATATAAAGTACAACTTCCCAGCTAAATGGTTTTATTTTTTTAATTTATCTTTTCTCCATTTATAAAATAACATAACTAATTCTTTATATTTTGTTTGGCTGCTGCCTAAGGAAGCTATTTTAAAAAGACTTCCCACCAGACATTTGACACCAGACCAGATGTTTTAAAAGTAAGAGCAGGCCTCCCCAGGGGGTGCCAGTTTCAGGAGAGGCTCAAAGAGGTTGAAAAAATTTGACAAATTTACATACTGGTTTGGTTGTACTTGACATTACATTATTCACAGCACTTTGAGGACATAACATGAACGAAAATACGGGACAAATTGTGCCCCGTATTGATTAGGCAATCTTAGCTCAGTTAGCTCAGTCTATTGAATGAGATAGCAACTACATGATCCCACAGACATCCTGGAATTGAGCTAAGCTAAGGAGATATGCCTTTTTCTGAAATTTGGGAGATTTAAAGCCAATAGTCGGAGACTGAAACCCCCCTGTTGTAGAATAAAAAAAAACAATAACATACATATGTATGTGTGTGTGCATAAATATATATATGTGTGTGTGTGTGTGTGTGTGTGTGTGTGTGTGTGTGTGTGTGTGTGTGTTTGTGTGTGTGTGTGCTGTGGATTAGGTGCCGCGTGCCAACAGATTCTGGTCTAAGAGCACTGTAAAATCACGAAAATGAGGGAGCATTTTTTTAATTAATTGAATCATGTACTACATCATACACTTGATACTTGATGAAGCTGTCTATCTTTAACTGACATGAACTGAGGAGGTTTGCAAATATGTGCTGATGTTGCCAACTCATCGTAAAATTATTACAGACTGGTGGTATCCCTAAATTCATTCTGTGAAATAACCCAAAACATCATCATGGTTCATCTAGCAACGGTTAATATAAGTCATAAGAAAAAAGGACAATTTAGCTCATAAATTAATAATGATAAATGTTGTTTACTTAGCACTTGCCAAACATAGAGCACAAAAGGCTTTCCAAAAGAAACAAAATACAATGATGTAATACTACAAAAGTTGATTTTATAAAATGATATTATTAGCACATTAAAACAATGAAGGAATTTTTTTAAAAAAACATTTAAAATGCTGTACATCTGCACGTGTGTTTTGTATTATTCTATGATAATTTTGTCATAATTTATAAGAATAAAGCGATGATTTCATAGATCTATTTTAGCCATAGACTGTACGTCTTTTGAATCAGACTTCCACAGAGGGTATGGTGTCATTCCTGACTGTCATATCAGCTAGAACATCACTGAAAATGTCTTGGAACAGTCCTGGAAAACTATTTTTAGTGGGTATTCTGTAATAGTCATATATTGCAACTGCACTCAGCCCCCCACATTTACATCCTTACTATCCTTTTGCATCAGTGAATTATTTTATAATTGATGACAAATGAGGTCATGGCGAATTTCAACATGAAGGGGGGGGCAAGCTTGCCTTCACAAAGCTCTCTTCACTGTTGTAACTGGTAAAAAGCATATATCCTCAGTGTTGTTTAGTGTCTATTTTGGTGGTTAGTGAAAACCAGGAACCACTAGCACAGTGGCCACATGGCTGCTACCTGAAAAAATATATTTTCGATGCACTGTTTTCAATTGTTTGTAGTGTGAACATGCTGGATAGATGTCTTTTCCATTCTTTGATGTCTTTAAAAGACAGAGAAAGAGCTGCTGGCACTTTTTTTGGCTATAGCCAGCTGCTTGCTGATTGTGAACAGCATCCAAAGTCCAAATCATAGCATTTACATGGAAGAATGTGTTAAATGTGTGTGACCTGGAAGAATGTCTGCAATTTAATACTTTTACTGCTTAGATTTACATTTTCAAATATTTTTTACAAAGAGTGTCCAGAGGACTACAGCAGAAACAGAGGCAAACATTGCGGCAGCTGCCGCCTTCTGCCTGAAGTATGTGCCAGACAGGGTGGGCAGAGGTGGCAGAAAAAACTTTTTGAAAAGCCTACCTGAAAAACAGTTACTGAACTTTGTTGACTGAACTGTTAAGTGAACTGTTAAGTTGTTGGTTCCAAAAGTGGGGTCCTGGTTCAGGTTCTGCTTAAGCAAATTTTGTTAAATGAATTATTAATTCTGTTTTTATTCATTGTTAAAAAAAAATCTAGATAAGCAGATTCTTGAACCTTAAAGGTTATTTTGATAACCCCATTGCATGTCTTTTGTGGTTTTATTGGATGAATTACAACATTTGTGTATTACAATTTCACTAAGATTTTAAAGTGAAACTTTTCTCTGCTTATATCTTAAAATTAATACTTTCAGTCTGTCTGACAGCTTGACATCTGTCTAACGTATGACATCCAAGTTTCTCAGCATGTTGATTTTTCATTTACAACTCAAATGCGGCTCTATTCATTAGTTTAGTCCTAACTGCAGTGGCTTTGTGTTCGAGTCCAACCTGTGGCCCTTTGCTGCATGTCATCCCCTCTCTCTCCCTGACTTTCCTGACTGTCTCTCACTTCACTATGTAAATGAAGGCAAAAATGCCCCCCCCAAAAAAAAACTTAAAATGTGGCTCTGTTAAAGGTTTGTGATGCAACCAAAATCCATACTAACTCAATTTCATCATCTTTCTTTCAAGTTGTAATTTCACAGCTAATGTTGGGTTATGACGAATATCCAATTTTGATTTTCAACCAAAATTCAACATCTGTCCAGCGTTGGATGTCGATGTCAAACACACGTTAGGTTTTGACGTCAACCTGATTTTCATTTCCAACTAAAATTTAACATCAGGCCAACGTTGGATGTTGATGTCAACCCAACGTTGGGTTTTGACATCAACCTGATTTTCATTTCCAACAAAAATTTGTCCAAACACCTTTCTGACATCCAGTTCCAGCTGGGCTCCTTCACTGCTGTAACAGTTCTGCTCAGACCATGGAGGAGCTGCTGGAGAAAAACTGACAGAAAAACAAGAGATGTCATTGAGGTATTTCTAAATGTTTTAATTAAACATGTTAATGAGCCAAGAACACAACATACTGCGTTGAGGAAGGGGATGTTCACAGCTGACAGCACGAATGCTAAGGCCATGGGGAAGAAGGACCTACAGCGGGGGACACAGCATTGTGGTATTTCATGTTTTATACATCACATCAGTTATAATGTAGATTTATTATACAGATCATAATATTCCCACATCATCCTGGGAACATTAGTTAGTATCATTATTATCATTATTATTATTAGAGACAAATATGAATTTGCAGCCTTGTTTTTCTGTTCCACTAAAACCCTACCTGAGCTTACCTGAACAAAAGTACAAAGCCGTAACTCTCCACCAGCATTCCAATGATTGGCCAGCGGCACAGCACCAGAGACACGCCTCCCAGGAAGAAAAATGAGCCTCGAAACTTGTGTCTCTGGAAGAAGAAGTGGGCTGTTCTTCTCAAGCCGATGATGAACGTCAATCCACTCAGGAACAAGACCTCAAAGGAGGAAAATCACACCAAAAAAATTAGGAAATATTAACACACAATCACAGTATCACTGTTTTATTCTGCAACTGTCATTTTTCTCCAAACCAAATCTTTCACTCTAGTTGAAATCTTTTAACTAATTGCTCTACTTAAGTCCAGTGCCAAATAATAACACAAAAATCATTGCATTATGTTTATTGTGTCGCAGGTGTTAATGAGGTACTCATTATGAGCCCATTAGCTTCATTATGAGCTCATTGGCTTCATGATTAGCCTGTTAGAACAGTCACTGTAGCTACAGAGCAGAGTGTGTTGGTGAATGTGAAGCAGCATTATAGCTAAAACTACACACTGCAAAACTGTTAAATGCCACTTCCACATCTGGTCCAACTGTAGCCATAGATAATCTATCCAGCTGTGAGCTGACACTGGCAGGTGAAAGCCAGAATGAGGCTAGGAGCACCTGACAGTCCTGCTGTATGTAGGCCAGGCTCGGGCTCTGTGGAGACAGACGTGGAGACGGTTTGTCTTCTATACTGGAGTCACATTAGGAGGGTCTGCCTGTGTGAATACAGCTGTTGGTCATTGTTTCAGTGCTCATATGCAGGTCAGTACTGTAAGATGTGAATCTGTGCTTTAAACTGTAATCCACCTGATACTGCCATAGCTGGATGCTAGCTGGATGCTAGCTGGAAACGAAGCAGTACAAAACAGAACCAGCAGACAGCCCGGCTGTTAAGATGATGTTTAAAACCTTAATGTCCATGGTTCAGTTCTGCAAGAAAATCTTTGTTCATATTTCTGTTTGGGGTTGGGGCTGTAAACACAGTCATTGTGTTTCACATGAGTGTGTGGGTTTGTGATGATGACACTGAGCAGATGTGTGTCCCATTACTCACATTCCCAAAGGCCAACAAGACTGAGTCAAAGTACAGCAGCACACCAAAGAGCAGAAAGAACAGCCCGAAGCCCGTCACACCCACACCGATCTCTGGAAGACACACACACACACTCAGTGTCAGTCATGCTCTCAGTAGTTTCTCTCTGTGTAGATGTAAATCTTTGAACAACTTACAAATATATCGTTTCATTTCAAGGAAAGACATCACACAGCTACACAGTGATAACAAGCTGTCAGCAGCAACAACCTGCTGACAGGAGCACAACCTAATCAAGCTGATCACTGTTTGTCATTGATATTTATATGTTTAGAGTGTCCACAGTGTAGTTGGAGAAAAAAACATAATTCACCAGATTTCATCCACTGTGGAGGGTGAAAATTATGATATTGGCCAGGCCAGAAAATAGAAACATTCAGTGAAGAAATCTCTGTGTGAAAGAAACAGTGACAGAGACAAATTCACTTGTTCCACACAATGAATGATAGGTAATCTAGATCATGACAAGTCTGCATGAAGCTGTGATGACTGATCTGTGGAGGTCTGCAGGAGAGCATTGTGGGTAGACATGTTTGTAGTCCTTATTAGCACTGAGGTCTCACTGAAGAATCTGGACCTGTCACCTTATCTCTGTGTTAAACACCGGTTCTGCTTTTCATCAGCTCAGGTGTGTCCATGTTCTGACAGGTGAGCATCTGACCTGTTAAACTGAATAACTGTTCTCTAGTCATTTACCTGGAGATAGAGTGTCTCCACCAATACATCTGTCTGTTGGAAGGTCAAACCTCTTGCTCTCTGATCCACCAATCACAGCTAATAGTCCCAACAGTCACTCACACTAACATGTTAGAACAGAGGGATATGGGGAAACTTACTCTGGAGCTCTGTGACAGTCACCATGCTGATCCCTGACGTCCTCCTCCTCTTCACCTGCTGCCTGTGTCTCTGTCAGGAACAAATGAGTCCTCTCTGTTCTCAGCTGTGACCTTTGCACATTGATGTTGTCAGTGTGTGAACATTAACCAGACAAGGCGCACACTGACCCCCTTGATCTGTTTGGTATTTTAAATTGTCTTTGTTTTTTTGTTTTTTGTTTTTACAGCAAAAGGGCTGTTGAGTTTTCCTTGTGTCACCCTGATTCATTTTGTAGCACTCAATCTTAAAAATTGTGTAAAAATGTTTCATTATATTTTCATGGAATAATTTGTGGTTAAATAGTATGGTTACAAGAGTGTCTGTGCTCAGTTTTCATTTTCAAGCATGTGTTACTATAAAGTTTTGTTTGTTGATTTGTAAGGGCAGAAACTCACATTTTCCTCAATTTACTTTGTATCCTCAAACTCTAGACTAGTTTTACATTAGTTAAACAAACCTGAAACAGAGGGATCCAGGTTCATTTTTATCACAGCTGTGTGTAGTGTTAACATAACAGTGGCTGGTGATCATGTGACCATTGATAATAACATAAAGACACTTTAATCACCATATTCTGATCCAGGACCTGATGACATCACTTACAATGAATCATATGTTACATGTTTGCGTGATTCTCTGGACCCTGTGAGTGACACAGACATGTATCTTCAGCCTCCTCTTCTTCCTCCTGTCAGCTGTGAGCTAAAAGAATCCAGTCTGTGTGTGTTTCTGCTCTTTATTCATCACATACACTTTGATATAACAAAGGCCATAGGGCATCATCAGGGACCTGCAGGTGAGGGGTGGGCTGCACAGGTGACCTCAGGAGACTTTTGGCAGTGAGCTTCATCATCATCATCATCATCATCATCATCATCATCATCATCATCACCATCATCATCATCATCATCATCAGGTGGATTAAAACAGCAGCAGTGAATATATCATCATCATTGCAGACAATGAGACACTGTGATAATTCAGAAGCATCTATAGAAACATAGTATTTGTATACATTCACTTTATTGCAGGGTTTTCTGAAAGCAAGCGTACTATTTGTCTTTTATCATTTGCATAGTTCAAGCAGTTTGTCTATGTCCCAAGTAGCAGTGGTTATATGTAAGAGTCAGGTTCACTGATCCAAAACAGTATGTACAATGGCCAATGTATAGAAGGTCTATATTCTGTATTGTCATCGTCACAAATGCTACATCTAGTATCAAATATCAGACACCACCTGTTGGTTTCTAACATGTCAGATCCCAGAGAATCCAAAAATATGTGTGTTCTGTCCCCGAGAGCCACAACGTGAACACAAAGTGTCATCTGTGAAAAACCTCTGTGTGTAAAAATTCAACCTGTCGACTGGAACATCTAAAAAAATAGTATGGCCTCTGTGAACATATTCCCTTTCTTAAAAAACATAACACAAGAAAAAATAGACGTTTCTCTGAAGTCCTCCACTGTTTTTGCTTGGTGAGTTGTTACCTTTCAGAATAAAAGTCAGTCTTCTTCATCCTGTAACACATTGTCTCTGAGTACAACAGCTCTGTACACACTGAGGGGAGGGGCAAAAAAACATGAACACACAAATGACACAGGCGAGGGGTGTGTGTGTGTGTGAGTGTGTGTGTGTGTGTGTGTGTGTGTGTGTGTGTGTTAGTGTGTGGACACATAGGAATTTACAGTGAAGAGGTAAAGGTTGAAGATTTTTAGTTTCAACATGATTTTTCATTTGATTATAATTATTTTCAACAGACACTAAATATAAAACACCAGCAGGGAGCAGTAACATGGTAGTAACAGGTTTAACACACAGACATGTGACCTGGAATTAAAGTGTCAGATCCAGTTAAAACAGATGTTTTAAATTAAAATTTAATGATATGAAATCAAAACAAACTAAACCAGTTTTATTGTAAAGACCAGTTAATTTTTGATACATTTAAATTATTTAAGTCAATTTTTAGTTTAATTCATTCATGATTTTGGATTACTTCCTGTCAGCCATGTTCTGTGTGTAGCTTTGAGTTTCCTTCGGATGCAAAATGTGTGAGTTGTGACATGAAACACATGATAGCACTGACATGTGTTGGACTATGGCACTGATTATGATGTCACTGGGATATGTTACAGTAATTAATCCTGACCGCATCATTAACTCCTCCTCACAGACTCTAAGGTCACTTCTAGTTCCACATACAGAAACCACTGATACGCACATATCCAACATACTTTACCTACATCATGACATTCACTGGGCTGATTCCACCTGATGACCACCTCCACAGCTGCACAGTGGGTGGAGGTGGGGGAGGTTTCTGACTCACATGAATTACACTCGTATGCAACTGAAACATGAGGGCCACGCAGAGCAGGGAACAGGGACGATGTGGAGGTCTGGGGTGCTGTGGAGGTCTGGGGTGGTGTGGAGGTCTGGTACGGTGTGGAGATCTGGGGCAGGACGGTCTGGAGGTCTGCAATGGTCTAGAGGTCTGGGATCTCGTCATCGAACCACCTGATGGTGATCTATTAGTGAAGCTCTAACCTCACTTTAACCATGAGCACATGCTGAAAGACAGGCCTGATATATATTAACTCTACCTGGACTCAGACTCTGATCTGGGATCAGTCTAAGTTATTCTCCTAGAGAGATGTTTGTTAACATGTGGAGCAGAAGACTGTGTCACTGATGTTTCTTTGAACTAGCTGTTGTAAAAGCGCACACATGGACACAGCTACAGTATAAACTCTACAGCTGGTGATACAGTCTTCATGATAAAGTTTGACCTATTTCCTGTCTGACAGCTTAGGTGTGAACAGAATCACAGTACTGCCCCCTGCAGGTGAGACACAGTGACCAGCGTTAACAGCTCACCAAGCTCTGATTGGGCTCCACAGCACACAGCTGAGGACACTGTTTTCTTTTCCCTCCTGGGTTTATAACCAAAGATCAAATAAACACAGTGCCCTGACCTCTGACCTCTGCAGCAGGTGGAAGCTGCTGTGTTCTCATGTAAGAAAGAGTGGCGCCTAAATTGTTCTGTCCCTGTGGCCACTTAAGTCTCTGTGTACATGTCATCAGCTGACCAGACCGCATGTGGCTACAAACATTACAGCTGGACCACTCTCTGCAGCTCTCTTCCTCTTTCATTGTCGTCTTCTTCAGATGCAATGATCTATTCTTCCCTCTACATCAACATCAAACCTCAGTTCACTAACACCTCATCATAATCTCTACTCTGTAAAACATGTCCTGAGCTAAATGATATAGAAATATTATACCACTTGAAACTGGTAGGAGACCTGAAGCCAACCTCCGTGCCACAGGACACAGGGGGTGGGGGAGGGGGCTGGGGGTAGCTTGGCTTTGGGTTTTGAATCTGCTCCTCTAGCAGGTGTCGGTGCTTTTGTTGTGTCAGGTGGAAACAGAAATGAAAGTGTTTGTCTGGGGTCATCTCCATTGTTCAGTCTTTCCAGTGGATCCTCAGAAAGACGCTCCATGAAACTTGACAGCAGCCAGCGCCTGAGCTGCAGACAGGAGAGACAAAGGAGACAAAGCAGGTGAGGGAGACATGGGTGAGTTACCAGGACAATTTCCTGTCAGTCTAACTGCAGCTGCAGAAGGATGTGTGTTTACAGGACAGCTGCGCTGGATGGTATCAACTTGATAAACACAAATTCTCAACACAAGATCATACTGGCTCCTTTCTGAAGCTTTCAGCCACATCTCATAGTCTTCCTCAGCTGCTCTGCTGTGATGTGGGACACACGTCAGACGTTGTGTTCAGAACTCAGAGGATGGACTAACACTCACGTTTTTACACAGCAACTTAAAGATTTATGAGCAGGATATTTCCACAAGTTAGATTCAGTTACAAGAAGAATGTTTAACCTCATACATGAACCCTTCACCTCTGAAATCTGGGTCACTTTAAGTCTGCGTTGATGTGGAGAACTGGCTCATCAGCAGGACTGACACTCAGTCTAACAGGTAACAGTATTACAGTATCATTAACATTAGTGGTGAAGTCATGAGGATCCAGTCCCACAAGGTCTAAACAGGACAGGGAGGGGTGGGGGGGCTGGTGGACGTGCTGTGGTGAACGGATACTCACCTTGTCAGACTCACACCTTCATGATGTGGGCGGAGTTGGGGAAGTCAGCAGAGGAAGGGGGAGGGGCCAGGCTGGTCGGGGAGGTGGGGGGGCTGGGGGCGCACTGGGCTGGAATGAGATGAAAGGATGTGGGAGGAATGACCAGAGGGAGACATTGAGAGCAAAACAAAACAAGGAGTGAGTCAACCAATGAGAGAAGAACGGTGAGGTCAGAGGAGGAGCTCCAGAGTGTTCACCTACATCATCATATATCACTGTTTCCCCTGGATGACTGTTTCTTTTGTTTGTTTGTTTATTTTTGGGAGGGATTTTTTGGGGATTTGTAGTGACTCAGATGTGTGGGTCGACCTCTCTCTCTCACTCTATCTCTGGTTTGACAAAGATGTAGAGCACCTGTTTATGTTGCTCTTAATGAGTTATTGACCTGTCTCTGCTGTGTGTGTGCGTGTGTGGGTGTGTGGGTGTATGTGTGTGTGTTGGGGGGGCTAAGATACACACACTGTGAAACGGGAAGCATAGCAGAGAAATACCACTGTCAATGACATCGAAACACAGCAGAGACTCACTGAGCTGACATGAATCAGTCAATAACATAAATCAAATATATACTGTACACACACACACACACACACACACACACACACACACATACACACACACACACACACACACACAGCAGAGATACACTGAATATGTATATGGTTTAGTAGTGAGTGAAGTGCTTGTTGGGGATGAAGGAACAGAATGATGGTCACATGACTTCACAGCTCATCATTAACAAACCTCCACTTCTATCTTCTAACATGATGGAGATGAACTGGATGCCACATGTGTTCAGGTGTATGTTCAGTGTCCTGACAGATACAGTGTAGTTTACAAGACGCAGGCAGGTCTGGGCAGAGACGCAGTGTTAGTCAGTACAGTGGTCTGTCCTAAGCCAAGGTCACACAGAGAGGTTCACGAGAGAGCGTGAGTGAGGTGGTGGTGTGTCGATGTGTTGTTGTGTTATGTTGTGTTGATGTTGTTGATAGCCATCTTGTAGATAGGGTCCTTACCAGAGAGGATGCGGCTGCGTCGAGATGCCTCAGCAGCCAGAGCACAGGAGATCTCAATCCTCTTTTCCTGCTCCTGCAGCTGCTGCTGGGAGGAGACAGGAGCTCCACCCTCCACCGGGCCATCCAGGACAGGAACCATGTTCTGCAAACTGACAGACACAGGGGTGAGAGGAGAAAGGAGGAGGAGGAAGAGGAGGAAGATGCTTTCAGAGTACAGGTCCTGCTGTCTCTGCACTGGGTGAACACAGGTCGAAGTAAACAGGTGTATGATACAGTTGTGCAGGTGTGCTATCACCATGAAAACACAATGTGGTTCAGATAGAGATGAGCACTTATTGTTGTGAGTGAAGGTGTTATGGCCAGTGGCACAGTACAGAAACAGAGTCAGACCCACTTGGATTTGGCAATGAGGGTCTTGATCCGTTCCAGTTTCTTCTGCTTCTCCATCTGCTCCTCGGAGCTCAGAGGAATGTTGTCCTCCACGTCCAGGTATCTCTCTGGGATCAGGACTTTCTCAGGAGCCATCAGCTACAACACACATGATACACATGGATAAATGAGAAGCCCATACCCTCTCTGGGTGTTGGCCCCTGGGGGCCTGCCGGTCTTATAAGGAGGGGAAGCTCATTTTCGGCCTACATCATAAAATGTGTCCATTTATTTATATGTAAATTCGCAGTGACAGAAGAGAGTCGCCAAACACCACGCTAGTCGTTTTTAACAAAGACAAAGTCGCTGAGGATCAGTAACGTCTCCAGATCAACTCTGAACAACGGAATGAAAAATTTGAAAAATGCTCCGGTGGATGCTTAAACTTCAATATCGCTGATTCGCTCATTTCGCTGTCAAGCAAAAAGGGACTCAGCCTCAGACAGATCATCCAATCATCATGCAGAAGCCGAGCGTCCGGGCCAGCCCACTGTCCCATAGACCCCAAGAGACGCTGAGCGTCTGATGGGCGGGACAAAGCCCAGCATTTATCCAATGACCGTCTAGTTTCGCTGCGGTGGAACAACCCACTCTGTGCTTCCCCGTTGAAGTCAGTAGATGCTCGGCGTCTACACTGTGTAAAGCACTGTGACGTTGCGGGGATGAATGAGAGGGAAGTCGTGTCGGTTACCTGTGATAAGTAGCTGATTCTGAACAAAAGATGAACGTGTTCTAGCGCATATTTAGTCAATGAAATGTACACACAACAGTATGTATTTGACCACTTATTTTGTTGACATTTTAGGGGAAGCTGAGCTTCCCCTGCAGTCTAAGAGCAATCGCCACTGGCCTGTAACTACCACCACTTTCTATACTTAGAGGATCTAATGACAGGTCATGCAGCTGTTATCATATCATGTCATATCAGTACCAGAGACCTGGAGCTCATCATATTCATCTGTCTGTGAGAGCAGACATGTGGATGATGTGAGAGCACAGTGAGGAGGTGACATGTCAGCTGACTCACCTCTCTGCTGACATCTAGGTCATATTGATCTGGTTCCAACTGTAACCGTCGGAGACGAGCAATTTCCTCCCGAGGTGACTCCTGACCCCGACCTCGAACCGCTGCCTCCAGGTCCTTGATGTCAATCTCATGAGCTGTAAGCCGCCTGCGAACCTGTCCACACACACACACACACAACCACACACAAACACACACACACACACACACACACACACACATACAGACACAGATACAGTGAAACCATCTGCTCCAGTTTGACACAGTTTTGTATATTTATTAGAATTTGCTCTCAGATCTAAAAGAAGTGGATTTTACACTGAATACTCTGATTAAACACACATCACTGTGTGCGTTGTCTGTGTGTGTTGTGGGTGTTTTCTAATCTGAAAAACAACTCTGAGAAGCAGTGTTGAGGAGACTTCAGTCAGTCAGATGACAGGTCCTCATCTGTTTACAGCACATTATCTGTGCTCACTTCTCTAGTTGGCTCTCTCCTCCACTCCACCTGCTCCACCCTGACACACAGGGAGTTGTTGCAGTGAAAGTGATGCAGTCCCTCATGGACCTCCCACTTGACAGTTGTATATGTTAGACTACATTGAGGGTGAGTGCGTGTCATTTAGGATGTGTGTCATTGAGGATGTGTGTCACTGAGGGTGAGTGTGTATCATTGAGGATGAGTGCATGTCATTGAGGATGTGTGTCATTGAGAATGTGTGTCATTGAGGGTTGAGCTGCTTCATGTTTAAATGTTGTGTACGCATGAAATTATGATGTTTGATGAACAGGGTTAAAGTTCTGAACTCTCATCACAAGCTTTTATTCTACAACATCATCATATGGTCGATCATACCACTTTGTAGTTGGCTGGAGAGTGGCCACCTGAGAGGTTTAGACTCCGCCTCTTGTCCCTCACAGAGCTGCTCTGGTTGCGGCGGATTCGCTCATTCTGCTCCTCTACACTCATCTTGGACTTCATCTCTGCAGGAAACACAGCGCTCTTTGGACGCTCCTGAGACAGAGGGGGGCACAGATACACTTCAGTTCAGGAGGTTTGAGTCCTGGTCCTGTGACACAGCTGATCATACAGACAGAAACCTGAGCTGGACTCTGAAGTTTAGGGCCTGTTGTTGTCCAGTGATGTAAACAAACCACTAAGATGTGTGGAGTCCCTGAGCTTCATTCTCCATCAGGACAAATTACATGAAACAACTAGAAAATTCCAGGAGAAATTTTGAATGTCATAGTGATTTATCTTGACACTGACCTCAGTCACTGCAGGTTTCCCTCAAAAAGCCTTTTGAAGCTGTCACAATGGTCAAAATCACCTCACACTGATGGTTTCAAACCAAAATTTGTCCCCACAACCATAGCAAGACATGTATACACACATGTACATGCCCTTGGTCTGCAGTAAAGCTATGCCACTATATCCCCATATATACAATAGATCCCTAAGATCAAACTTTTATGACTTTTTTTAACCTCTTACCTTTTTGAGACTCTTATTTTGTTTATTCTGTGTTTCCTTGTTTGGCAGTATAAATTGCATAAGGTTTTGTACAACAGAGCCAATAATTTTTTCTTACCATGTTACCCTTTATTTTGAAGGTTAATCCGAATCTGGAGATGGTGTTTGTGTGATTCTGTTAATATATATATTTATATTTGTGTGTGTGTGTGTGTGTGTGTGTGTGTGTGTGTGTGTGTGTGTGTGTGTGTGTGTGTGTGTGGCTGTGTTTGTAAACATCACAGAGATCAAAGACTCTCCTAACGAGCCATGTCAAACAGCTGTGTCTAGCTAGAGGCCTGACAGAGCTGAGTGACATTTTGGCTCGGCGAGCCTCTCAAACAACTGCTTTTTTTGAAAAGAACTGTAACTCCTATCAAAACCATGAGCAGACCATGATCAGCACAAGATCTTTGTGCACAAATTATGTGGCTTCGGTGTTTCTGGAGCCAAAAATGTGGACACAGGAGCGAGTTACAAGAAGAGTCACTTCTCCTTTTCTCTGGAATTTTGAGGTTCACTATTCAAATTCTGTAAGTCTCTGTGCTTAGGTAGACACTTTCTACGAAACAGCATGAATTTGTCTACTATCCAGGAAGCCATGATGTGTGAAGACTGAAATATGTGGCCATAAGGATGAGTTACACAGATTTTTTTCAGAAGAGTTCTAGAGCTCCTCCCACTCTAGCGATGATTGATTGATATATATTAGGGTTGTCACGATACTACAACTTCAAACTCGATACCAATACCCAGGAAAAGATTGAACAGATTAGATTGAAAAGATTAGAACAATACAAACAATAACATCAATGACAACACTATTTTTAGGTTTTCTGAGGTAGTGCAAAAAAAACAAACAACAGTGACATATGACATGCGACACAGCCCTGTTTATTTTCTATGCTTCCGGTGACTTCACACCATATTTGATCAAATAGCGTTGGTAGGGTAGGCTGCCGCTGTTTTTTGTCTAGTTGCTGGTTGACTTTTCTCAGCTTTAGACTTTAAGAGAAATATATTACTTTTCATACACAAACAATTGTGTTATCCTGTTAAATTAACATTGTCTATTAATGTTATAGACGGGCAGGACTGAAAACATTTTGCTGCCTAGCTCCCACATTAACATTAGTCGTTCTATTATTAGCCATAGCCGCTAGCTGCTAACTTAATGGTAACTTAACAGACAGCTAATGTGGCTATGGGCCAACTGCTAATAGTTAAACAGCTAACATTAACATGTGCCGCCGGCCAGGTAAAATAATAATGCAAAATAATTCCAAATGGCCCTTTTCCCATTTCAACTAAAACAGGTTGCAAAGGCCCTTCAGGTATCGATACTGTTGCAAATGAGTATCTAATCCGATACTAATTTTCAGTATCGAGTAGTATCTGAGTATCTATTTTTTTGACAAGCCTAATATATATTGTCTGGGTTTTCTCAAAGCTGCAGGACTAGTTACGCCCCGAAATTTCGATACAGAAGATGAAAAAGACGAATAAGTATGCAGAATAATAATATATTCCTTCAATGCTATTGCATTGCATGCACATAATAAGTATGCTGGATAATAATATATAATAATAATAATAATAATACATTTTATTTAAAGGCGCCTTAAAGGCATCAAGGACACCGTACAGAACTACACAAATTGAGATTAAAAACACATTAAGAAGAAGCAACAATAAAAATGAAATATAAAAATAAAAACAATAAAAAAGTGACAGAGCAACTGGCATCAGATGGAAAAGGCAGTTTTAAACAGATGTGTTTTGAGTTGTGATTTGAAATGGGGGAATGAATCGATATTTCTGAGTTGGGGTGGTAGTAGATTCCAGAGATGGGGAGCAGAGCGGCTGAATGCTCTACCCCCCATGGTGGTGAGACGGGTGGCGGGGACAGACAGGTGTGTGGAGAAAGAGGATCTGAGGGAGTGGGAACATGGAGGAGGTCGGACAGATATGGGGGGCCGAGGTTGTGGATGGCCTTAAATGTTAATAGAAGGACTTTGAAATGAATACGGAACTGAACCGGTAGCCAGTGGAGCTGTTGGAGGACAGGAGTGATGTGGTGGATGGAGGGGGTACAAGTAATGATAGGGGCAGCTGAGTTCTGGACCAATTGAAGTTTGTGGAGGGATTTATGAGGGAGGCCGAAGAGGAGAGAGTTACAGTAATCCAGACGGGAAGTGACGAGGCTGTGGACAAGGATGGCGGCGGTGTGGGGGGTGAGGGAGGGGTGGAGGCGATTAATGTTTCGTAGGTGGAAGTAGACAGACCGGGTAATGTTATTGATGTGGGATTGAAAGGATAGGGTGCTGTCAAGGATGACACCCAGGCTCTTAACCTGGGGAGAGGGTGAAACGGAGGAGTTATCAATAGTGAGGGAAAAACTGTTGGTTTTGGATAACGTAGATTTGGTGCCAATGAGGAGAACCTCGGTTTTGTTACTGTTTAATTTAAGGAAGTTTAGAGTGAACCAGGTTTTTATTTCAGTGATGCAATCAGTTAGGGAGGTGGGCAGGAGAGTGGATGAGGGTTTAGTGGAGAGGTAGAGCTGGGTGTCATCAGCGTAACAGTGGAAGTCAATGTTAAATTTGCGGAAGATATTGCCGAGGGGAAGGAGGTAGATGATGAAGAGGAGGGGCCCCAGGACAGAGCCCTGGGGCACACCGGAAGTGACGGGGGAGGGGATGGATTTAAGGACTTGAGTTGAATGAACTGAGTGCAGCCAGAGAGGTAAGATGTGAACCAGTCTAATACAGTGTGGGTGATGCCAGTGGAAGATAGCCTGTTGAGGAGAGTGGTGTGACAGATGGAAATATATGCCTTCAGTGCTATTGCATTGCAGGTACATAATTAAACATCATAAATGTGGTCAGGTTTACACAACTCTCTGAGCTTCTCTGTCACTTCTTATTAACAGCTGTGTCCCAGTTCAGAGGCTGCATCTGAAGACTGACTGCATCACAGCAGCCAAATAGACTCTCCCATTTTTTAGGCTCCTTCAAATGCGTTCTTTCTGTTCCTGGACAACGAAAGCTCCAACGGGTGAATCCCACATCGCCCAACCTATCCCAAGATTCATTGCGTACCAGTAATGAAAATAATATGTCAGCAAACAACACTGACAGAGAGCCCAAGGATTACACTGTTAAATTTAAGTATTGGGTTACGGTATAACTGTTAAAACCAAGGGCCTTAAAATCTCAGGTTTTGTCAAGGTTGCAAGGAGCCGCGCTTTGTGTCACAACTGTATGGGCGGGCACAGCTGGTGACTCAAAGTGAAAATCCTCTGTAGACCAGACTCATTTTGGTTCGGCCATCGCAGTCAATGACAACTTCAAAGGGCCACACCTTTGTAGAACATGTCCTCTGAAGGCTGTGGCCCCTGAATTGGGACAAGGAGAATGCTTGATGCCATACTTACTGTGTGTGTATTTATGTATTATATATTATTTTGGCTCCTGGTCTTTTCCTAAAGATGATGAATGATGATAGCACTGAGCTGTGGTCCTCAGATCACCAGAGAAAAGTCTTATTCAAATGTTAATTCAACACTTCACTGTGACAGTGTAAGTGCATGTGAACCACTGAGGCTCCCTCACACACTGTAACATTTACTCACATCCACACACACACACACACACACACACACACACACACACACACACACACACACACACACATGTTGTCTGTTTTATCTGATCACAGTAAGACCAGGACGAGGTCGAGGCTCTCCGACTCAGATGGTTTTGTTTGAGGGTTGAGGTTACTGATCAGTGTAGGCTGTTGTTCAGACATTTGGAAAAAACAGACATTAGGTTGACTCACCCTGGAGAGTCCATTAGGCACTCTGCCATTGTGTCGGGACACTCGAATGGAGCTGCTGTGTGGTTCGTCTGTGGGGGATTTGGTTCTGGGAGGAACGATGCCAACTGTTACAGAAGGGACAGGAGACATGGTCAGAACCATGGGAAAGAAGAGGAGGCTGGATTCTCAGAGCTGTCTCCACATCTGTGGATGTAATCAGTGTCACACCACAGAGACAGGACCTGAACTGGATTAAGGGTTTTCTTTCATCTGTCATCTACAGATATGATCAGTGTGAGCAGTGCGAGCAGTGTGAGCAGTGTGATCCGTCCTCCATGGGGATCAGCAGTTCATCAGCTGAGAAAGATCTTGATCTGAGATTGTTGTACCTTTATTCATGCTGGGCTGCCGGTCCTGGACCTGGTCCTGCATCTCACTGATGTTCTGTTCTCCAGACTTGAGCTGTAACACAGAAGACTGACATTATTCTCATGTCATCAACATTAAGCCTGGAGGTTGAGGAAAGTGTTAGGTCACAGATGAGACAGATGCATCAGGTGATGCATCATATGTTCAGTGATGTCGTGTTAAAGCACCTGGTCTACCTGTCACAGCAGCATCAATGACAGTGACACTTCGAACCAATATCATCTGGTCTCAGTGATGACACTGCTGCTTACCTGAGGGACCATAGAGACCCTGGAGAACTGCTCCACACAGGTCTGAGGTCACATGACACATCAGTGTTCTTTCATCACTGTCCAGGTCTCTACTGATGTCTCTACTGAGCCTCAGCTGTTTCCTGAGACTGAGTGAGGGATGTCCACTGTGCTGCTGTCTGGTGTGACCATGAACTATGTCACTACGTTAATTTGTTTCCACAAACAGATACACAGGATCTGACAGGTGAGCTGTGGCTGCAGAGAACCGCACACCACCTAACAGGATTCTGTTCTACATGCTGCTCCTGCTCTACCAAAGCACCTGCAATGCATTCTGGGTTTAGGTACAAACACCATGTGTTACATCACATAGCTGAATTTTGGAGGCAGAGGCTTTAAAGAGAGCAAAGAGGGAGCAGCCACGTCTGGAACAAGGTCTGTGGGAGGTCAGGAACAGCTGATGAAGACAGAGGGATGATCAGAGGTAACGGGTGGAGAGGTTTGGAGAGAGGATGGAGCAGTGGACGGTCTCTGGTGAGCTACAATGTTCAGAATGATGTTCTGACATGATGACATGGGACAACAGTCAGGACTGAGTGGAGGGGGGGACACCCAAATACCTTTCTGACGTGAGGGTCTTCACCATCGAGGTAACCATCGTCGAGGCCCAAGCCGCGTAGCCAGACAGTGCTGTCAAAGGGCAGGGGGGGGATGGAGGGAGGGTTGGCAGAGGAGGGCTCCAAAGGGTAATAAGCCTTGGGGAGGGGAGGCCTTGGGGGAACACTTTCCTAGATCACCATAAGGCCAGGAGGTAGGGAGGGAGGGAGGAAGGAAGGGAGGAAGGAGAGAAGGACAGGAGGAAGAGAGAGTGCTGCACATCAGGAGGAGTGATAAAAGCCAGGCAAAGTGCAGAGCAGAGAGGATCATAGGAATGATTCTGTAGAATGAGGTCTTGAGCCCATGTTAAGCAGTTAGATGTGAAAACCCATGGGTGGCCACTCAATGGCCTGGTCTGGCAGACTCTGTGAACACCCACCTCACTTCAGCTTCTTCAGAGAGATTATTATGTGACAAACTGCAGCAGAGTCTCTGTGTGTGATGGGATCTCTGACTCCTCAGAGGTTAGACCAATATCTAACAGGACCACTTCACACACAGCGACAGAATATGACCAGTAATAATGTGAAGTGTTTAGAATCTGTTTGTTCTTGTACAAACCCCAATTCCAAAGAAGTTGGGACATTGTGTAAAATGTAAATAAAAACAGAATACAGTGATTTGCAAATCCTTTTTGACCCACATTCAATTGAATATACTACAAAGACAAGATATTTAAAGTTCAAACTGAAAAACTTTATTTTTTTTTGCAAATATTCACTCATTTTGAATTTGATGCCTGCAACACATTGCAAAAAAGCTGGGACAGGGGCAACAAAACATTGGGAAAGTTGAGGAATACTCAAAAATCACCTGTTTGGAACATTCCACAGGTGAACAGGTTAATTGGAAACAGGTGAGTGTCATGATTGGGTATAAAATGAGCATCCCCGAAAGGCTCAGTCATTCACAAGCAAGGATGGGCCAAGGGTCACCACTTTGTGAACAACTGCGTGAGCAAATAGTCCAACAGTTTAATAACAACGTTTCTCAACGTACAATTGCAAGGAAGTTAGGGATTTCATCATCTACAATCCATAATATCATCAAAAGATTCAGAGAATCTGGACAAATCTCTGCGTGTAAGCAGCAAGGCCGAAAACCAACATTGAATGCCTGTGACCTTCGATCCCTCAGGCGGCACTGCATTAAAAATCGACATCATTCTGTAAAGGATATTACCATGTGGGCTCAGGAACACATTGGAAAACCATTGTCAGTTAACACAGTTCGACGCTACATCTACAAGTGCAAGTTAAAACTCTACCATGCAAAGCGAAAGCCATAGATCAACAAAACCCAGAAACGGCGCCGGCTTCTCTGGGCCCGAGCTCATCTGAGATGGACTGACACAAAGTGGAAAAGTGTGCTGTGGTCTGACGAGTCCCCATTTCAAATTGTTTTTGGAAACCATGGACGTCGTGTTCTCCGGGCTAAAGACGAAAAGGACCATCCAGATTGTTATCAGCGCAAAGTTCAAAAGCCAGCATCTGTGATGGTATGGGGGTGTGTTAGTGCCCATGGCATGGGTAACTTGCACATCTGTGAAGGCACCATTAATGCTGAAAGGTACATACAGGTTTTGGAGCATCATATGCTGCCATCCAAGCGATGTCTTTTTCAGGGACGTCCCTGCTTATTTCACAAGACAATGCCAAGCCACATTCTGCACGTGTTACAACAGCATGGCTTCGTAGTAAAAGAGTGCGGTACTAGACTGGCCTGTCTGCAGTCCAGACCTGTCTCCCCTTGAAAATGTGTGGTGCATTATGAAGCGCAAAATACAGCAGCGGAGACCCCGGACTGTTGAGCAACTGAAGTTGTACATCAAGCAAGAATGGGAGGAAATTCCAGCTACAAAGCTTCAACAATTAGTGTCCTCAGTTCCCAAACGCTTATTGAGTGTTGTTAAAAGGAAAGGTGATGTTACACAGTGGTAAACATGCCCCTGTCCCAGCTTTTTTGGAACGTGTTGCAGGCATGAAATTCAAAATGAGTGAATATTTGCAAATATAATATTGAACTTTAAATATCTTGTCTTTGTAGTGTATTCAATTGAATGTAGGTCAAAAAGGATTTGCAAATCACTATTCTGTTTTTATTTACATTTTACACAATGTCCCAACTTCTTTGGAATTGGGGTTTGTATTTACAGTGTTACAGATCAGAATGATGATGATGATGATTGATGATGATGATGATGATGATGATGATGATGATGATGATGATGATGAAAATGGTGATGATGGTGTTGAGATTAACTGTGGACATCACTGTCTTTAAAGATTGCTCTGCATGAGCACTCTACCTGACTGGTTCCTGCGTGAATCAGACTGTGTCAGGGTACAGATCGCTGGATCAGTACTGGGTCCCCCCTGACTGTTGAGGTAAGTCAGTGGCCTCATACCTGGACCACCATTACTTGATGACCAAGGAGCCAGCTTCTGATGGTGGTGGGTGTCAGGACTAACACCTCTACAACAAGGGGCCAAGGGTGCATAAAGATCTGGACTATTAGGTAATGATACATCAGTCAGACAGGAGTCCTGGAGAAGCAGGATCTGGGATTCAGTCACCGACCAGTGCCTGTTCGAAGACTGGTTTCTGAAGCCACCATGGTCTCCTGCTGAGTACTGAGACTGGGAGTGGGAGTCTGGATAGACATCTTTTCTCAGGCCGACCCTGACCTCTTGGATGCAGCTGTTTGAGGCGGACCAGCTGACCTCCTGGAGGTCAGGGTGGGCCTGGACTGGGTCTGGATGCTGACTGGTATATTTGGAGTCCTGGTATTGTACCTGGAGAAAACAGATCTGTTCACCTGCTCTGGCTTTGGCTGGATTTACAGGCTGGTCAGAGTCTGAGCTAATTTTGTGGTTCATGTTTTGGTCTGCCTCCTCTATCACAGGGTCTAGTCTACCCAGGGACTCCCTGTGGTTTTGGAAAGCGAGGTAGGGCTGAGGACAGGTGTGTTCATAGGTGTCACTGCCATAGTAACTGACATGTTCTGCGTGCAGGCCTGTGTCAGACTCAGTGTAACTCTTGGGTCTACACCTGGGCTTAGGGTCAGCTTTGAAATGAGGCACTGTACAAGACCTGGGACGAGGTTTAGGGCTCGATCTTCTACGCACATCAGGGTTGGTTCTAGAGTCTAAACACAAGCCTGAACCAGATTTTGGGTTGGGGTCGGGCCCCTGCTGGGTGTGTCCGGTGCTTACCTCCGGGCCCAGCTGTTTGGTGGGGGAGGCCTGGGAGCCGGGCACTGGGGAGAAGGGGCTGAGCGGGCTGGTGAGGCTTACTGAGCTCAGGGGACTGGCTGGACTATTGGTGCTAAAGGAGCCTGATGCACCGCTGGCCACTGTGCAGGAGAGAGGGGGGGGTCGTTAGAATATACAGGACACAGACACTGGTGTTTAAATTAGATTGTTTCTCAGTGTTCACCTCTGTGCTTGGCTGTGTCAGTGCCTCTGGACGAGTTGTTCTTGTGCAGTCCCTCTAACACATCCTGGACTCTCCAGAACTCCTTCTGGATGTGTCTACGAACCAGTTCACTCTGCAAAGTCCCAGGACAGACAGGAGGACATATTAGACCTTCAACAGATGAGCCACACCTTACTTGTAGATCTTGACTGATTAATGTCTGTTGTTTCCTGCTGTCTTTCATTTCCCACACTATCCAGAGCTGAGCTATAATAACATGAGACCACAGGTGACCTTTACCTGTCCTCCTGCATTAAGCTGCTCCCACAGATCTCCATGGATGGCGTTGGCCTCATCCTCCAACGCTTCAAACTCCATACGAGTGGTGGTTAAAGCCTTAGAGACAAATAACACAGACCAACCAGCTCATCTTTCTCCTCTACTGTCACAACATTTTTTCACCAGATTTATTTCTGAGACCTGGATGTAACATCACTGTGGACATATTGTTGCAGTGGAACATGAAGTTTACATAACACTGGTTTATAGTCAGCAGCAGGTTAAGAATAATGGATCTGATGGTTCTCATGGTTTACTTGTTTAAAACATCTGTAAATATTCAAGATAAAGGGAGTAATGGCAGAGACCAAACAAATGATATCCTTCTAAGTATAAAGACAGAGGCTGTTTGTTTGCTGGGACCACAGACAGATGGTCTTACACTGGAGGCCTGGGACAGCTCCCCTCTGATGTTGATCAGCTGGTTCTGCAGAGTCTCCTTCTTGAACTGCAGCTTCTCCATGGCCAAAAGCTGGTTATGGTACAGCTCCATCTCCTGGTGAGTGGCCACCAGCGCCTCCTCTAGGCTGTCCTGGGCACAGAAGGCATCATCACAGAGAGGTTGCATTTCATCATATCAGGTGTTTCTAGTTTTATGACCAATGAGATCAGCTGTGTCTGTTTCCTTCAGTGTGACAGATAACGCCCTCTCTTCAACACATGATAAAACACTGTGAGGAGAGTGATGTACCTTGTCCATCCTCAGTCTGTGGACCACAGCCTCATGGTCTTTCAGAATCTGGTTCTGCTCACATAATCGACCCAGGAGTTTCTGTGTCAGACAGGGCAGAGGGTGGTTAGACCAGGATCCAAGACTGTGTCTGCTAGACTACATGCTGACTGTAGCTGGCCAAAAGTATATGGACACCCAAACATTACACCCATGTGTGACAGGGCAATGTGTCCTTCTTAATCAGTTGGTTTCAGTACTGATCCTGCTCTGACTCACAGATGCTGGACTGTGTTGAGGTCAGGACTGGACTGTGCAGACAAGTCAGGACCTTGCAGACTAGTAAGGACTCTGCAGACCAGTCAGGACTCTGTAGACCAGCCAGCCTCTCTTCCACAGTAAACTGGTGAACCATGTGTAAAATGTATAGACGGGATGTCCACATACTTCTGGCCATGTATTCGGAAATGTGAATGATCAGAGTGTGTTTGTGTGCCATTGTGTTTATAATGTGCAGTGTTGAGTCTCTTACACTGGTTTCAATCTCATTGAGTTTCAGTGTGGGGTGCAGCTCACTGCTGTAGACATCATGGAAAGGAGGCCCCTGTGAAAACAATCATCATCATCATCATCATCATCATCCTCATCATCATTGGGTTCATGTTCTTCTTTCTGCAGTATATGACAGGTTATTAAGTTTATGTATATACACAGTGACTGTCGGCAGACAAATGTTACATACTGTAGAAATGCAGTAACTGTTGGCAGACAGATGTTACATACTGTAAACACAGTAACTGGAGGCATTTTTTATTATGGAGGGAAGTCACTTTCTGACCAGATCAGGGTCTGACTGCCTGGATGTGACCCCAGCAAACAATGGCTGACAGAGGTTAGAGTTTAGAGTGTGTCAGTGCTGGGAGGGGTCTGTGTGCAGCCTGAGACTCAGGGCAATGCATTATCCATCAGACTCACTGCTGTACCTGAAGCTCTATATTATGAATTTACATTGACAGAAGAAATAGATTAAAGTATCTATCACAGACTTCATCTGCCCACTTCTGTCAGGCTCCACAGGTTTCACATGGATATATAGTCTGATGGTGTGGATGTGGACTAGTACAAACATGTCAGGGTCTTTGAGACCTGTAACTGTTCTGAGATACTATACAATACAATATAAATATAGACACTTAATTGAAGCACAGGTAAGCACAGGTCTAAGTCCTGTTAATGTTACACTGAGTTTCTGTGATGGTGGATGGGTTCACAGACAGTCCACACAGTCATAAGACTTTGCCTGGACACTGACACTTATGTCCCACAGACCCTCACAGACATGAGCAGACACCTCTCTAACCCTGACCCACAGCTGGATGGATGATATGACGGAGAACAACAGCGTGGACCACGTGCAGACAAGTTAAGAAAAGAGAAGAAGGCTTGGACAGGTATGGAGCATTTGGTCTGTTAGAGGTCTATATAAGGCTCTGTCCAGGCCTGGAATATGGACTTAGCTGGACTGGACTGGACTGCACTGGACTGGACTGGACTGGACAAGTGTCAAAATCAAAGAGGTGATTGAGCAGAGAGTCCAGCTATAAAAGGTGACGGGTAAACAGAGTGACTCAGATATGTAATAAGAAACAGTGATGTCTGACTGTGTCCCTACCTGCTGGTCTAGGTAGTCCAGGTTGCGCTGGAGTTGCAGGTCTAATATGTCCTCCTGAGCCAAGCAGCAATGATACACATGAAAGCACACGGACACACACAGTACAGAGAGAGGGCTCAGAGAGACGGCAGCAAAGCACCACAGCCAATCACACTGGAGGTCCACAGTTGCTACATGCTGACATCTGTTAACATCTACTAACACCTGCTAACACCTACTAACATCTGCTAACACCTGCTAACATCTGCTAACATCTACTAACACCTGCTAACATCTGCAAACACCTGCATCTGTCTGACTAAAAGCTGCTCTTTTCACTCTTACTAGGTCTTCACCAGTCTTACTGGGTCTTCCTCAACAGATGGAGTTTGATCAGTCATCACAGGTTGGTGTGGTTGTTATAATTATGACCTATGAGTGCAGCTGGTCAGATGATAACATGGTGGAAGATGGACGATGTCCTCCTCATCCACCTTTCATCTGGTGTTCCCACAGCTGATCTACAGGTCCCCAACATGTGATGTCATAGTGATCTCATACATTACACCTTGCTCTCAGGGGTTTGCACCAGCAGTGATGTGAAGGTGTGGAAAAGTTTATTGGTAACTGTTGACTCCAGGTGCATCATCCACCACCTGATGCCTGATTCCTGAGCAAACTCCACCCACTGATGAAGACCACAGTATGTGAATGAAACTGTCTGAGCTCAGATTATTTTAACAAACTATTTTTTATTTTTAGAAATTTATATTTCTAAATTAACAAGCAGGTCAACATCTGTTTCATGCTCAGAAAAATGTGCTGGAAGCTTTTCCTTCCTCTTTAACATGTTTCTAACACAACACAGCCATGTTTGTTCTTCTCTGCTCTTCTCTGAACCAATGTAATACTCAGGCACTGCACATGGCATCTTTCATGACATGTATGTTTGTTTGTTTGCTCTTATATCAACTGGGTCCTAGTCTCCCACGACACTGAACTTCATGTGCTTGGAGACCCGACTATACTCCATGGAGGTCTCTATCACGAAGTTTCTCTTATGTGTAAACACACACATACAAATACACACACACATATACACACAGGAGTGGCCTCAGTGGTGTGTTAGGACAGAGCAGAAGATGTTACCAGGGTTAGGACAGATCAACAGTGGACAGATGTGCTGGAGAAACTGCACAGCTGTCTGCAGCTGCACAACAAAGCTACACATACCACTACACTGACTGTGTGTGACTATGTGTGTGTGATGTGTATTAGAGCACATTAGTGGCACATACCATTTTACTGTGGATGGAGGGGGAAACAGGGTAGTTATGCTGGTACAATCCTTGGCTTAAGGACCTCCTGTCACCAGGGTAGTCGTACTGAATGAAGGAAGGAAAGGAATCAAGGAAAAAAGGACGAATGAGATCAGAATGAGTGAGATCAGAATGAATGAAAGTGAAAGAATGTAAATGTGACAAACAGCTCTCAGTCCTTTCATCCATGATGACTTAACATCTGTTGTACAACTAAAGGTCATTTACAAACCTTTACTTCCTGCTGTGTTCTGGGCTTTCAAACTAAATGACATGAGATTTTAATATTCAGTTTAGATTGAGTCTTAATTCAAATCCTCAGTGACACATTTCATCCTTAGTTTCATTCAGTGTGACAACAGCTTGTCACCATTGAATTAAGATTAAAAATAAGGAACTGCCATAGACTTTAGACATTCTACAAACACACAGATACACATAAACTCACACACACACACACTGACCTTGGGCGAGCTGAGTGACCTCCTCAGGCTGTAGACTGATGGGTCAGCGTAGATCATGTTGTCCCTCATCCTCCCAGGAAATCGGTCAAAGCGGGCCGACAAGGACCGAGCCGGGGAGGCAAAGTTGGGGGGCACTGGAGAGTAGGGCCCCCCTGATGACGAGGATGGTGACCTGGGCACGGACCTGGAGCGCGGCTGGATGGACAGGCGCCTCATGGATGTCTCCATTCCACCATAGTACTGTGGCCCCCATGGGTCCCTGGGCATCGGGGGTCCATACAGCTGATGGGGCCCATCCCTCAGCGAGAGACGCTTCTCCTCCACGGTCCAGCGTCGGTCGTACCCCCCAACGGCAGAGACGGAGCAGATGCTGTCAGGACGGACCCCTGGCGGGTACAGAGGGTACTCCTCCACAGACTGGGGGCCACCAGGGTAGGCATAGTAGTCAACTGGGATCCCACGGTTCACTGCGTAGTAACGAGAGGGGCTGAAGGACGGGACAGGAAGAGATGATTATTTATCAGAGGTGATAAAATAAGATAAAAGAGGCTGAGAGCAGCACAGTTTTATTTATAAGACTTAGTGAAACTAAATCTCTATCTTTGAGACCTAATGACCTTATTATAATCTAAATAAAAATCATCTCTGTTTATTATGCACATGGAGATTAATGAATGAAATAAACCATGTTGTGAAATAAATACTGTAAATGAGACATGTTGAAAGTGCAGGAGAGAAGTTTAATATAATGTCAGACCAGTGGTTTCCCTCTAGTGCTCAGTTATTGAATTTAGTTTCATCGGGATGCTCAGACCTCAGCAGCTCTTATGTTTGGTCCTTCTCTGTTTTAAAGCTATGAACTACACACTATGGAGTTAACAACTTACTCTAATTTACCCTCGGCCTATATCAATTTCTTCTTCTTGCCTGTCTTAAAGGTTAGATATCACACTGGATTGTTGGTTGGTTGTCTGTTGAGACAGAATGTATGGACTGGGAAGCTACAAATGAATTGCCTATGGGGGAAAATAAAGTTGTCTGAACTGAACTAAACGCATTGTTTCCCAACATGTTGGTTAATATAGACGGATGGACGGATGGAAGGACTGACTGACTGACTGACTGACTGACTGACTGACTGACCGACCGACCAACCGACAGACAGATAGATAGATAGATAGATAGATAGATAGATAGATAGAAGACCCTTACAGAAGTTCAGGTGTTCTCCACTACTCTACCTGTTGATGTCCTCCTGGGAGGCCATGCCCCGCCGCTGGTTGACCCACTGTTGCAGCTGGGCCATGGAGCTCTTCCTCTGGGCCACTCTCTCTGGAGCTGTCCTGGGCACAAAGCCCCTCCTCAGCACCATGTTCTCCTGCTGCTCCCTGGGGTCCTGCACCTGACCACTATCCCCCTCTGGGTGTCCCTGAGTGGCACGGTGTCCACTGTGACTCCTGGATGGAGGCTGTTTGCTATTGCTGTTGTGGAGCAGGACATTGGTGGGGCCGTAGTTGGCCCAACCATTAGGATGGTGATTTAGATACGGGGCTGGGTCAGGACCAGGTCCTCCCCCCTCATCTTCACCCTCTCCTAGTCTTCTGTCGTTCTTTTTTCCCTCCACATCAGAGCGGGGCATAGAACAGGGAGGAGTCTCCAGGCTGTCGACCCCGTTGACCTTAGAGTGTGTGGGCAATTCACTTTGAGTTTTATTGTGTGTCTGTGTGTGTGGATTCTGCTGTGGGTCAGGTGCGTTGGTCACCATAGTGTGGTTGAGATCAGCTGTGGTGTCTGAGCTCGTTCTGTGGAGCAAAACACACAGGCAGTAAAACATTAGAGAGACAGGAGGAAACAGACATTCCAACACAGGAAGTAAATGTGTTATAAGCATTTCTTCTTGTTGTTTTCATGTCAAGAGACCTAATGATCAAGTGCTGCCCTTCATCTCTGCTCCAGTTTATCTTCACACTGACTCATTATAAAAACATGGAATCTCAGGGATGGACAAGATGCTCATTCACAGAACAGGTCTGTTTCGTTTCATCATCATCACAAACACAGATTGGCCACCACTGTATGACACAAGCTCATGCTGTGCTCATCTGCATCCTATCCACTTTGGACCTGTGACATTCTGTTCTGTATATGTTGTTGGTGACTGATGATTTTACCTTTGTTCAAATATCTTCATTTTAAAACTAGTGGTCTTTTCTTACCCTCAATGCTACAGAGCTGAATGTCCAATACATTTACATTTGCTTTTCACTTTCATTTCTATTTACTATTATAAAACATACATGAGATCCAGGAGATGTAGACCACGGTCTGTCTGTCTGTCTTCTTCAGGTTGTCCTCTACAGGAGTGCTTTTTTAGATGTAAATGTATGACGAATGGAAGACAACTATGAATCCCATAAAACAACTTGTCTCATGGTGCTGTGTGTTGCTGCCAGTTGCAGTGTCATTTTTAATAAAACTCCCAGATGGTTACGTTAAACTTTTATAAATCAAATCCTCTTCAGAGCAGCATAGAGAGGTGGAGAGACCTAACAAGCACATATAATATTGACATGACTGGACATGTTGGACTGGTCCAGTCAAATGTGATGGCCTATGTGTTTGTACTCCATGTACTGTGTTTACTGTGATTACTGTATGTACTGTGTGTATTGTGTTTTCTGTGAGTATTGTGTGTACTGTGATGTACTGTGTGTACTGTATGTACTGTTTTGTAGTGTGTGTACTGTGTGTACTGTGTGCACTGTGTGTACAGTGTTGTACTGTGTGCACTGTGTGTACTGTGTGTATGGTATTGTACTGTGTGTAATGTGTGTCTGATGAACGTGGTCATCACCTCTGTGTTGGCTGGACGTTGACTTCTGCAGCCTCGCTCATGGCTGTGATCCACTCCCCCTGCTCCTCATGGCTGTCTGTGCTGAAGTAGTAGGTCCTGGTCCCAGCGTGCTCTGCCTGCATGCAAAACACAACAGCACCCTTCAGCTCCCCCTCCTCATGCTCCTCCTCTTCCTCCTCTAGCCACACCTGCAGATGGAGGCAAAACCCAGGGAGACAGCCCATCAGTAACACAGTGTTAGGCCGGTCACACTCAACATCCTCATCATCTTCATCAGCACTAACTTCATCTCCTCATGCAATGAAGAAGCATGAGAGTAAAGACATCCAGGTTAAAGGTGGATCCTGTTTGTTACAACCTCAGTGTCATTTCTATGGTAACACAGTCCTCACTGAGGAACTGAAGAGAACTGAGAACCTGATGAGACCACATGCACTGGTCTCTGAAGGGTTAGGAAACAGGAGCAGAGAGGAGAGGTATGAGTTAAACCAGGTTTTACAGTGGGGTCACCTGATTCACTGCAGAGGAAAACTGAGAGCTACTGTAAAGTCAGTGAAGTCAGTCAGACTAGAAACAGGAAATGGGTCTCTAAGGTCTGAGTATGGACGATGTCAGATACTGTACAGACTGTGAACAGTTGTGAGTTATGATACTGGGCTTTATAAATAATCTGGATTTGACTTGAGTTTTTTAATAATTTTATCATTTTCTTTTGTATCAATTCTGTCTGTTTGTTTCTAACCCGTCTGACTGCTCGTGCTCGTAACCTTGACTTCTTTGATTAACTTGCAGAGAACACACCATTGTTACTGATACAATCAGTGGTCATTACCATATTTCATGATCCACTCACTACACATCCAAACACAACCCCTAAAGCTAACTTCTTATGTCCTGAAACTCAAACCAGTTCACAGTTTTAAATCATGATGGGGTTTTTAAAGGTGGCACTGGTTCTTGTGGTACTGGATGTTCTGTTAACAGCAGAGCATGCAGTCACTGTCTGAGCAACCCAAACAGAACAAGACTGTCTCCATCTGACAAGCAGACATGCAGTGCAGCAGATTTAATCATGCAATAGTTAATAAAATAAAAATCATCAGTGCACCTACTGTTCTCTCTACCACAGCAGGAGGCAGACCTCAGAAGGAGGGAGAGAAGACAGTGAGGGAGGGACAGGTTAAAGCCTGTGGTGTCTAAAGTCCCTGCTGGTGAGTGTGATGCTGTGGCCTAAACATGTTTTCTTTAAGGAGAGAACATCTGGATCCTCATGTTACAAACAACATACAGACTGTATGTCTTTACTCTGATAAGGTTCCTGATGTTTCCGTTAACTGTGAGGAAACAAAGGCTTTAATACAAGTCAGTGTGTGATGTCAGAGCCTCCACATCAACAGCTAACTAACACCTCTCTGTGGATACATAGCTCACTAATGAAGACAAGACAGTTTCAGATATTGATCACAAGAGGGCAGCACACACTGATATACAACTCAATCACCTTCAGGAAGCATCAGCTATGATCAGAAGCCTCAGATTTTAAGATGTGTGTCAGCCTTCAGGCTGCTGTCACACACATTCATGTCTGATACATAAACCTTCAACTGCAGATCTCAGATCAGTGTGGAGGAGAAAACACATGATGACCTTTTCTGCTGGTCATCATCCATCACCATGGTGTTCACATCTACCACAATTAAACACTTGATTTATTTACATGTGTTAACTCCTTCAGTGTGTCCATGTTGAGATCAGTACAGTCATTTCAGTTATAAGATCAGAGGCTGTAGTGATCTCAGCCCATTTTCCTGTTAGATCACAGCTGCACAGCTACTCCACAGAAACACACTGCTCAGACTCGTGTCTGTGTGTGTGTGTGTGTTTAGGCCAAACGTCAGCAGGAGGAAATGATGTCACTGACAGGAGTCACTTCCTTCCACGGTGGAGCCCTGTGCAGCTCCGCCTTCTGCTGTGACACGAGGTGATGCAATTGGCTGAAATGGCTGTATCATAAGTAGCAGCAGTAACCTAGCAACAGAGGTGGAGCTGTGGGAAGAATATGTGTGTGTGTGTGTGTGTGTGTGTGTGTGTGTGTGTGTGTGTGTGTGGCTTCGTTGTCCTTCCTTTGTTCATTCTGTCAGGGAGGGAGTGATGAAGGTGACTGATCATCATCATCTCATACTGAATCACAAACATAAAATGATTCTGAACATAATCATTATTTTCTGAACAAAAGAAAAAAAGGGAGAAAGCCAACAAAGTAGAAGCAGAAAGGAAGGAAGGAAGGAATGAAAAAATTAATGAAAGGAGGGATTTAATGGAGGACAGATGGAGGAAAAATGTTAAACAGAAAGATGAACAGATGAAATGCATTGAGAAAAGAAAGAATGAAAAGACAGGTGAGAACAATGGAGGAAGAAGAGGAAGAATAGGAAGGAGAGAAAGAAGAAGAAGAAGGAAACCCCAGATTTAAAAAACAGAAGTAAAATGAAGATGACGAGAGAGTGATGGTCAAAGAGAAGAAAGAAGGGAAACCAGAGAAAATGATCGACAGACAGACAGAACAAACTCAAAGTTTACTCTTCTCTTCACCAATATGCAGCTAAACAGTGACCAGACAAATCTCCCAACAAGAACAACACACTGACTACAAACTGTTGGATCACTGTCATCTTTGAGCTATAGCTTTATTTTATTCAATTTTATTTTTGAATTTCTTGTAGATGTAGATGTTTCAGAATGTAACAGTCAAAGTGACTATTTGCTGCTCTGGATTGTGAACATCACATGTCTGTGCAGCAGCCTCTTATACAGTCCGGTTTCACCCCCAGATGCCCTCTAGTGGATGTGATGTGGTGATTATGACGGGAGAGGGGGAGTCAGGATGTGTTGACAAAACACAGAACAGTGTTTGTCTCCTGTTTATACTCATCAGTGTCTCTTTTAACCATGACAGTTTCACAAACTTTACTATGTGTTTATTTCTGAAACCATGGTGACTGAGGTCCTCTAACCTTAATGAAGTACTCATTTTAACCTAAACCTAAGTAGTTTTTGTGTCTAAACCAGACACTGCTCTATAGGCTTAACTGTGTTTATTATAATTGATGATGATAATGATGATGATGATGATGATGATGATGATGATGATGATGATGATGATGATGATGATGGTAAAGGTCTGGTGAATTGCTCCTGTGGGTTGTGTGTTTGAGAGTAGAGAAAAACTTCTTTGGTTGTCGTTCAGGGTTTATACAGATATTTAAAATGGAATAAAAAATACACAGAGGTGTGTGTGCATGTGTGTGTGTGTGCGTGTGTGTGTGTGTGTGTGTGTGTGTGTGTGTGTGTGTGTGTGTGTGTGTGTGTGTATCAGTAGAGCTGCCTAACAGAACCTCCAGTAAGTTCTTTTTACCTGGTTCAGACTCTTATGTGTGTGTGTGTGTGTCACAAGGAAAAACATAATTTTCACAAAAGACCGGAATTAAACATGAACAACACAAATATACCAACACAAGCACAACAGCTCCAACTCAGTGAGTCCTCAAACATACAAACCAACAGCAGATCTTTGGTTGAGTTAGTGAAAGATTATGTTTTTGTCTTTGTTTGTTTTGCTGAGTGGACCAGGATATTTATCCAACAGTAAGTGCTGTTTATACATCAGTATAAAACAGCTGACTCACACGGTTCTGAACTGTAAGACTGTTTTATCTAGTAAAACACAGTGTTAGTCACAGTGAACATTTAACAGGATTCATGTTGAATCTAACTTTGTTAGGGTCTGGGCTCTTATTTTGAAGGTGTTATGGCTGAGACATGTGTCTCTTCAAGCAGCCCCAGTTAGAGATTGACAGTCTAACCTCTGTGTGGAATGTGCTCCATATCTACAGGCTGTTCCAGTGAATACAGGTCAGTCACTTCACTGACAGTGGAGAGGAATCACAGTCTTGTGGCTTTCAGCCTGTTTGTGACACTCATGATTTTTTAAATATCTGATTGTGACTTAATTCTGTCAGTGTTGTGTGTATTAACTGAACATGCTCATGTTTTTAGTGGACAGTGAACTGAATGTATCAGTATTGTTGTGGTTCCTCATATACTGACTCCACTGTTCATGAGCTTAAATATAAAACACAACCAGCAGCACACACAAAGTCTGCTGCCTGTTTAGATGTTCTTTAACCTACAGCTCATCACAAATCATATAATGTGGTGTTTTCTGCAATACAGATGTTTCAGTCACATGTTTCCCTGTTATGGTTTTTACTTCATCTTTATGTCCTGCTAGAGATAACAGTTATTAAGTGATCGGGGTTAGAAGTAGGTGAAGGGGTAAAGATTGTTGGACACAACATTTGAACTCCACTGTCTTGTTTTTAACTGTCTATATATTTATATTTATATTTATATTTATATGTATGTACCAAGCAGCATTGTAAAACCAGAGACAAATTCCTTATGTGTCCACATACTTGATTCTGAGATTCTGATTCTAAATTGTATGGTTAATGCGTTGGTATGGCAACCATGCATCCATGTGGCTTAGCTGTTGTGTGGGGCTTTGAGGTCACTTGCATTTATTAGAAGAACCACTGTCAGAGTAAACTGTTTACACAGCACATGTTCTTGTTCTGAATATACAGTGTGTGTGTGTGTGTGTGTGTGTGTGTGTGTGTGTGTGTGTGTGTGTGGTGTGTGTTCATCCAGCTCGCCAAGTCCAACCTCCAGGAAATGCTTCCAATACAACCATTCGGAGAGCAGCAGCACTGAGAGCTGCTGAAAAGCTTCCCCAGTCTCACACACACAGACACACACACAAACACAGAGTGAGAGAGAGAGCGAGAGAGCAGGTAAACACAACACAACAATTTCACTGACTCCTTCATGTATGTTGTATGTACACTGTCATTCAAACTTTGCTTTGTTCAGTCTGTGTTGTTAATCAACCCATTAACTCATCATTAAATTAACAGGTATCTAAACACTGAGCTGTTGACTTTCACAGGTGGAGGTAATGAGTTACATTAACTCTGATTACTGTAATAACTGTGCAGGTCTAACTATGCAATGAAATTAAGGATGATGTCATTATTCAGCCATGGTTAAGACTAGCATGACCTCAGAACAGAAAAACAAATCTAATGCACCACCCAGTGACAACAGCAAGTATGTCAAATCAAACACA